TATATTTGCATTGTAAGTTAATTTGGAGGCTATACTCCAGCAGAACTTGTACCAAGCAAACCTTAGAAAATGAAGTAGCTCCAAATCTGGGCTCATCACTAACAGTGGCCAACTAGATGCAGACTTCTAGGAATTCAGTTTTGGCTTGTGATTTTCGATTTCCACCAGCCAGTTTGGCTAATAAACAAACTGAAATTGACCTAACATCTAAGTTGTCACTAGCCACTTGGCTAGAAAGTTGAAAAGTTAGTGTTGAGCTTTGCTGAATGAAATCAATAGGGGTTTTGATGTTCTCTTAGTAACTATTTCATGTTGTGAATTTATTTTAGGCATCCATATGGCATGCTTTGGGTCATTATGCCTATGAAGATGCAATCTTCCTTGCTGAACGACTTTTCGCAGAAGGTAATAAAAGATTGATAATCCAATAATTTTTTTATATTTCAGAAATATGAAATTAAGAATCTGCTTTCCTCATTTTTTTCTATAATCCATCTGGTTTCAAATGGCTCCCTATCAACAGCCCTGTTACTGTGTTAGAGAGACCACTGGTTGCTTCCTTTTAACCTGGTCTTAAACTTCCACAAGTGATTAACATGTAACTTCTCCCTATAACATCTGTATATTACCCAGCAAACAGGTGATGAGAATACTCAAACTTATCAGGTGGAAGCGTTTAACTTGATCTAACACCAAATTCTTATAATCAACATACAGGGAAATGTGTAAGAACCAGATGGGAGAATTAACAATCAGATCTAGAGTGCGAAAGGGTTAATCATCTGCAGGTCAAAACTTGATTTATTTCATTTAGTTGTGAGCACTATACCCAGCTATATAGTTCAAGATTTCACATAGATTTAGTTGTAATACTAAGAGTTAATAATCTGAAAAATTATATTTTGTTTCAGTTGGCTCTGATGATACTTTGTACCTTCTGGCAACATGTTTTTATCAAGCTGGTTATTGTAAAAGAGCGTACTCTCTGCTCCAAAGCAGAGGCTGTCCCACTCCACTCTGCCGATTTCTTTTTGCAAAATGCTGCATGGAATTAGACAAGTATGTGTCTCCTTCAATTGGTTCACTCAGGCATTGGAGATTGAAAAATTCTTCACCATAATTTTAACGATCTGAGCTATATTTCTCATCAACTTGGAATTATTCTTCTGTTGAATCACACAATTCTCATACTACATTTCTTGGTGAAAACCCAGCCTCTTACAAGTCACATTATATATATCTTATTCACCAAGTGCGAGGGCCGTACTGGGAGAATATCGGCCCGAGGTCTTGACAGTACGGATCTCGCTGCGCTCGGTCCATACAAAAAAGACCAAGGGCCAATATTCTTCCAGTATGGCCC